AATCCTTGATTCCAGATCATTTATTCAGTTTGTACGGGAAGGTCCGGCAAGATATCCCAGATGTACAGGTAAAGGAAATAGAGGACAACAATAAAATAATCAGAAAGCGTGACATTAAACACTGTACACAAGACCTAAAACATGTGGCGACGATGCCCCAAAACCTAATACTGGCAAAAAAATACAAAGTTGAACCAATGTTTTCCGACTGACAACAATTCAAATCTTTGCAAAGACGCACGTACACAGTGGATACAATATGTACAACAAAAATATAACTATTTCAGTTTAATAAATTATTATCCTGTTATTTATAGTTATGTACAAGAATCAGAAAACTATTCTGAAGCATCAACATTCAATGGTACAGCTTAAGTAATGTGATATATCAATAAGTCTCATTACAAGGGCTATACGTGTAAACAAGTGTCTGTAACACCAAACCTTACTGGAGTACGAATATATATTGAGTGTCCCCAAAAAAGTGAACTGGTTTTTGACAAGTATTTTCTCAGCGACAGATGAACCGAATTTATTAAAAAATGTCACAGACTAACCCTAGGGTATCTTCAAGAAGTCTGCAAAATATCTAAGAGATTGGTTGCAAATTATGCGAGTATTGTCAAATTCAAAACAGCATGTCAAAAAATGCAATGCCATAAGGGACTCTCTAAAGGAGAAAGTTTACTGAGGAGTGAGAGACAAATTGACCGAGCGGGCGTTAAAGAACAGGATAATTATGTCATGGGAGGAGATATCGGTGGAAGAAATACGTAAAAGCATTTCTGCTTGGAAGAAACTGCTTCGTTTAGTTGTGGAGGAAGATGGAGGCCACACTGAGCATAGACTGAAATAAATGAGTTTTCCCATATGGCATTGCATTTTTTTACATACTTTTTTTTTATTTGACAATTCTCGCATAATTTGCCACCAATCTCTTAGATACTTTGTAGACTTGTTGATGATACCCTAGAGTTACTCTGTGAATTTTCTTTAATAAATTTGGTTTATCTATCGCTGAGAAAATACTTGTCATAAAACCGTCCACTTTTGGGGGGACACCCGATATAAGTCATCTGGAGTGTATCTAATTAATATTACTTTATCAATCATAGGTGATGCCACATAAAACCAAAGACCTGTTCAAGAAGCACCTCTAATTAAGAAAGATATCTTACATCATGTTCAAGTGATTACAGACGCCATCCTCATTTATCCAGGATTATTTATCCGAACAGATACACCAATACATGGTTAAACTGAAACTGAACTCCATAGAAACCATTGTATATAATCGGTTTGTAAACCATCAGTTGTGTTAAAACAAATTTTAAAAATTATGAAATATAGAATGAAACATATTCTGTTCTTTAGTGTGAAATCGGCTGTGCTCCAGTGCAATCACTTCATAACTGGGGGTGTTCTATCAGCATGCACTATTCACCTTAAAAAGCACATGTCTTTAAAAAATTGAATAGATTTCTTAAACATTTTAACATCATATAAGAGCTAAAATTGTTGTCATAATCTGGCTGAAGAGAACAGGTTTAGTTCAAATGAAATTTTAACCTAGAAGGTAGTGTTTTATCTATTGAATACAGTGCTTGTATTAAAGGTAACATCCTTTGCTAATAAGTAAGACAGAATGTGACTCTTAACCCACTGGTTTGCTAATTCATATACAGGTCCCTCTTCGAGTGTTTGGTGAAAAAGTCCACAGTGCGATCTGCTTCTTATTAGAGGTGATACATCAAGAATATGTTGCGTACAAAATGTGACTTAGTTAATTATGTGTCATCGCCCATAGAACCGATATAGAAGCCATATTATTCATGTAATCAACCATTGGTTATTTACAGGCAGCTATGAAATACCTTGACTACTGCTGTGTGAAGCAGAAAACAACATTCAACATTCAATCGTAATCAGATAGCTAAAAGCTGTTTTCTTCACAAAACTTCACAACTAAAATCAATTAAATTTTGAGAATTTTATTCATTCCAGTTTAAAAATAAGTCATTGAAAGCTTGCTTTTTCACAATTTCACATCCAAAAAGACAATCAAAGTAAATAGTTGAAAAAAAAAAAATTTCAACGATGAGGCCATTGTTTCCATAATTAAATACACCTAAAGAAAGTTATTTCCACAGGGCAACTTCACTATTGCACTGAATTACCTTGTATCTTATCCTGCAATTATTTATGACCAACAGAAGGAAAATGAAACGAGAACATGAAAACCATAAAACTTAGTATGAAGCATATATCTATACTCAGCAAATGGCATAGTGAAGGCAATGGTTTAGATATACAGTAAGTCTGGATTTAACCACACTTCATTAATATCCTGGCAGATGAGCTTTATATTGGTGGAAAGCATTGAGAACCAGTTCAAACCCCCAATCAGTGGATCCGGAGAGCTAAGGGAGACAACTCTACATAGCATGTTTCAGTCCCTTAGACCACTTGGCAAACTGATCCTTGATGCATATAAGAGTATGTGAGAGAACTTGACTTAATATATTTGATGCACTTCGATTTTCAGAATAATCACATTTTTCGGATAAATCGTGACATACTTAAGTGTACAGAATACCTGTATTCACAGTTCATGCATAGTGATTCCTTATTAGCTGCAGGTCGGAGGAAGAATCAGAATTATATCCACCGACACCAAGGATGCTTGACTTGCATAAAGATAAGTGGGTGAGTGTCTTGTTTAATGTCGCTTTGAGTGAGTTGGGTTTTATGCCGCTTTTAGCAATATTCCAGCAATATCACAGCAGGGGACACCAGAAATGGGCTTCACACATTGTACCCATGAGGGGAATCGAACCTGAGTCTTCAGGGTGATGAGTGAACACTTTAACCACTTGGCTATCCCACTGCCGCCTTGAACAGTATCTCAGTTTCATCACAGAACGTCAGCTCGTGGTGGGAAGGAAGTGGTCAAGGTGTTCATGATAACTTCGTCACAGAGTCACGGGGCTGGCAAACCCAATCAACAATGATTAAAATTATCAAAAGGACAACTCCCAGACATGTTAAAACAGTGGGACTGAAAATAGTTTCGGGGAAGAAGATACTCTGATGACTCTGGAAAGTTGACACTGTTTTCCTATCAACTTAGATACAACTCAGATACACATGCACTGAGCGATCTTAGTGCAATGCTGATCATAAATCACATACTCTAACATAACTTACGACAGCTGTAGAGCTAAGATCGCTTCGTACAACTAGGTCCTGATTGTCTTAACAGGTTAGACACGATCATGATCATGCCGCTAAATATTCACCAGGTAATGGCACAATGCAAGTCGGAACACAACCTGTAGTTCACTACCCATGTTGAACAAATCATAAAATAAAAATAGGTCACCAAAGTTACATATCTTGAGTGACTGAGTTGGGATTTACAACACTTCTAGCAATATTACAGCAATCGGGGGAGGACACCAGAAATGGGCTTCACACATTGTACCCATGTGGGGAATGGAACCAGGATCACAGCATGACAAGCAAACACTTTAACCACAAGGCTACCCCAATGCCCTAGTTACAGATTATTTAGGGCCGGGGGGAAGCCTAGTGGTTAAAGCGTTGGCTCGTCACGCCGAAGACCCGGGTTCGAATCCCCACATGGGTACAATGTGTGAAGCCCATTTCTGGTGTCCCCGCATTTCAGATGTTGCTGGAATATTGCTAAAAGTGGAGTAAAACCAAAACTCAGTCAGTCAGTTACAGATTTACACAATATATTCATAGTTAAACAATCCAGAGCAATTTGGGATCTTGTTGATGGATAAACTCGCAAAATGTTTCAGAAGTAAAAATATAATTGTTCTTTAGTCTTGGGTTCTTTTCTAATATATATCTGTACTTACACTTTAGCACAGTTGTGACATTTCAAAGGGGATCGTTCTGTATGACCTGTATCAGGACACAATGTATCTTGAAATGTCAAATGTTTGGTGAATGGATACATCCCTGGACAGGACTACAAGGAAGCAGGTCCAGTACCGAGGCAGGATCACCACGGAAACACAGTGATGACAGTAACTGAAGGTCAAGAGGGGACACACATGGAATGCTCCAATCGTATAACATCAGCACTTGAGCAACTCGGTCATTAAAATTAACATGTTTATCAAACTTTCATCAATTATATATTAACATCATCACTTCCTTTAATTCATCTTTGAGTGGCATTTTTATAAGTTGGGAAGTACAATATAGAACAAATTTTATGGATGAAAGAAGTTGTTATCCATAAAGTTTGTTCTACATTTAGTTCTTATTTTGTTCTCTTCGTGATTAGTCTTGCTTAATACCATCAACACCTGAACTAAGCATTTTCAGCCCAATAACCGCTAAGGATGAATGTGTTTCAAGCCTGAAATGAGATAGCTAACATTGGTACAACCAACCTCACAGCCCCGATACACATCAATGTGCAACTATAGTCCGTTTGGCTCAAAAGCGGACTATGAATTGCATTCTAACTCGAAAACTAATAAACATATTTGATCATAATCAAAACGCCAGACCAACTCTGTGAGGTTTTTGCAGAGTTTATGTCCTAAAAATAAAAAAGTTGTTTAACAAACTATCATTACAATTTTGACACAGTTCACTATTTGTTATGAGGGAGGAGTGCAGAGAAAGGGACAGCCAGGTGTGCGAGAAAGGATGGAGACGGCACAGCACAGGTTAATGAATCAATAACTTGGTGGGCACTTGTGCACGTGCTTCTCTAACACCTGGCTGTCCCTTTCTCTGCACCCTCCCTCGTAACAAATAGTGAACTGTGTCAAAATTTTAATGATAGTTTATTAAACAACTTTTTTAATTTTAGGACATTAACTCTGCAAACAAACCACAGAGTGGGTATGATGTTTTGATTATGATCAGCGTTTCATTGAGTATTTTATGTTTATTAGTTTTCTATTTACATTGCAATTCATCAGTCCGCTTTTGATCCAAACGGACTATAGCAAGAAATGACACTAACACGAACAATTCAACACCCTCAACTGACCACACACAAGTTACTAATCCACTGTGAGTAGAAGCAAGTTCATTGTTGATCTTTGTTGATTGTTCTAACCAGTGAAGCAGATATTTACAAGCAAATATGCACATCAAGTTTCTGTTATTATGACCAGTGCAAAAATATTTGTCATTTAATGATAAATGTACAAGTCAATTGCCCCATTATGGTGAAAAAATATATTTACAAATTTGAAACATTATTTAGATATAACTATTCAATGTGTTATATCTAACCAGAGGGAACCTTTTCCAGTCACAGAGTGATTTCCACAGATCATAGAAAGATGACATAGTATATCTAAACCTCAACTGATTTCAACCCACAAGACATTCTGTTTGCTTCTAACCCATAAATGTTACTTGTTTCCTAGAACAACATCACATTCAGGTGTACACTGTACTCCCACCATGGTGTACTACCACCATGGTGTACTCCCATCAAGGTGTACTTTGCATCCAGGAAGCAAAGGCCGACTTCATCTCAATTCTCAGAGCTTCTGTGGTTATTGCTGAGATTTGATGATTATTGGAACTGAAAATATCAAGATTATAGACTTAAAAACAGTTTGAAAGATCCTTGGAAAACAGATAAAAGAAGCATGACAGAAGAAGATGGGGACAAGTGTAGGGTAAGAAGAAAGTACTGTAACCGACATCATCACTTGGTACAAGTACTGGGTGAATACTGTAACTGACATCATCACTTGGTACAAGTACTGGGTACTGGGTGAATAGTTTAACCCCCTGGCTGCCGAGTTTTTTTTCAGGCGCACATTTTCACACAGTTTGAAAAGTGAACGTTGTGCGAGAATTGCTCTCTGGTCCTGGATCTAATGCATCGCTATAAAATTACACAGAAATGTAGAATATTAAAAATACAGCCTGATATCTGAACGACATAAGTGTATATGAATTGGGTTTATGTGCTTGTGCATAACGTTATACTCAACATTAAAAATGACTCTCAATAATAAATGTCAAAATGTAATTTTTGAGTAAAATTGATATTTTATACTTATCCTGACTCATGCTCTTTTTGCTTGTCTTCTTCTTCTTGCTAACATAGTGGAACACTTGTATCTCCCTAATTGAAGCTCCTTCAATTTAAAATCACTAATTAGTATTCACTGACGAAGTTACCTCCTTCCACAAGCTGAACTTAGGGCCACCTCTACCCATGTGCCTCACTCTCTCCTCATATACTGAGCCCAACATTTGAATTTACAGGGAACCAAAGTGTTATTTGGGAGGATGGGAGGAGCTGACCTCATGAGTCAGGATAAGTATAAAATATCAATTTTACTCAAAAATTACATATTTTTCCTTATCCTGACTCATGCTCTTTTTGCTTGTAGCATCCTACTGGAACGGAGGTGGGAATACTAATACTTTGGATTTTAATAATTAGTGATTTGAACTGTGATGATTGTAATAACCCTATGGGAACTTCATAAAGGCACTGAACTGATGAATTCCTGCTGCTAACTTATCAGCTGCCATATAAAAGGTTATTACCATGTACTTATTATGATAAAGTATATATAACATTAATACAATGCTTAAGACTAATAGACTTAAGCTTGTTAATATGCTAGTATAAACTCCTTAGAGTTTGTTAGCTAATATACTTTTAAGATATAACATAGTACTAAGCTTAAGATATGATTAAACTTAAGCTAATTATATAATAGCAAACTCTTTAGAGTTTGTTAGTTAATATACTTATATGATATAGATATAATGCTGAGCTTAAGATATGAATAAGCTTTAGCTATATATATAATAGCAAAACTCTGTAGAGTTTGTTAGCTAATATATTTTATAATATGAGTATAGTACTGTGCTTAAGCTATAATTAACTTAAGCTACATATATAATAGCCAAACTCTGTAGAGTTTGTTAGCTAATATATTTTATAATATGAGTATAGTACTGTGCTTAAGCTATAATTAACTTAAGCTACATATATAATAGCCAAAAACTCTGTAGAGTTTGTTAGCTAATATATATTATAATATTAGTATAGCACTGAGCTTAAGATATAATTAACTTAAGCTACATATATATAGCAAAACTCTGTAGGGTTTTGTTAGCTAATATATTTTTACAATATGAGTATAGTAGTGAGTGTGCTTAAGATATAATTAACTTAAGCTACATATATAATAGCAAACCCCGTGAGAGTTTGTTAGCTAACATATTTTACAATATGAGTATAGTATTGTGCTTAAGATATTATTAACTTAAGCTACATATATAATAGCCAAAAACTCTGTAGAGTTTATTAGCTAATATGTTTTATAGTGTAACCATAGTACTAAGCTTAAGATAAGATTAGACTTAAGCTAAATGTATATATAAAAATAAACTCCTTAGAGTTTATTAACTAATATACTTTTATGTTAAAACATAGTACTGAGCTTAAGTTATGATGAAACTTAAGCTATATATATATAATAACAAACTCACGAGTTTTGTTAGCTAATACCTTTATAATGTAAACATACTGCTTAAGATATGATGAAACTTAAGCTAATTGTATAATAGCTTAAAACAACCCTTTAGAGTTTGTTAGCTATGATATAAACCTAGTATTGAGCTTATGAAGGAAAACTTAAGCTACATATATAATAGCAAGAACTCCCATTAGAGTTTGTTAGCTAATACATGTTATAATGTAACCATAAAGCTTAAAATATGATGAAACTTAAGCGAAATATATAATAGCAAAACCCTCTTTTAGAGTTTTTTGATAGCTAATATACCTATATGATATAAACATAGTACTATGCTTAAGATATGAATAAGCTTAAGTTACATATATAATAGCTAAAACTCTGTAGAGTTTGTTAGCTAATACATGTTATAATATAACCATATTGCTTAGAAATATGATGATACTTAAGCCAAATAGCAAAAACTCTTTAGAGTTTGTTAGCTAATCTACTTATATGATATAAACATAGTACTAAGCTTTAAGATATGAATAAGCTTGCTACCTATATAATAGCAAAACTCCTTAGAGTTTGTTAGCCAATATGTTTTAATAATATGAGTATAGTACTATGCTTAAGGTATAATTAGCTTAAGTTACCTATATAATAATAGTAAAACTCCAGAGAGTTTGTTAGCTTAATTAACTTAAGCTATGTATAAAATAGCCCAAAACTCTGTAGAGTTTGTTAGCTAATGCATTTATCATGTAACCATAGTATTACTCTTAAGATATGAATAACTTAAGGTAAATATATATAATAACAAACTCTGTAGAGTTGTTAACTTATATATTGTATGATGTAATAATCATAGTACTGTGATGATAAAAGGAACTTAAGTAAATTATATATAGCATGAAGCTATTTAGTATTGTTATAAGATAAGTAAAAATCTGTTAGATTGACTTATCTTCTCCGAGGAACTGTCAGCTGTTGTGCGAGGACCATGGGATCGAATTGGTGTATACCTGAGACGTCCTCGGTGGTGATATCTCTCAGATAATGGTTTGCAACCACCATATCGGATTTTCAGAAATAAACCCTCCATTATTTCAATCACATTTGTGTAGAACAATTCTAGAAGTTAAGCTATAATATCATGAGTATTAAGCTCATGGAGGGTCGAATAGGTCCATCCGCATATGCAACGTAGTATGACAGTTCTGATCCAAATGGAGATATAGTACATGAGACTTCACTCTAAGCGTAAGTTGATGATAGAGGAAATAATCTGTTGCATTTTCCCTCCTGTTTGGTTTGGTGGAGATAAATTTACAGTGCTCTTGCTGGCCATCTTGATAGAATCATCGTATCATGGGGTCCAAGTATGTCATCCAGGCGTGTTCATAAACCCTCACTTGTGAGGTGTTGGAGCACCATATATTCATATCCCCAGGTTGGGCTGAAATTTCCGTTTTATTCTCCAAACAGAAGTTTAGTAGGTTTACTAACCATCTAGTTGTGTTAGTCGCTGATGAAATTCAGCTGTAGTCTGAAACGCTGTGGATTTAGATCCACTTGTATCTTTCGTCTAGGTAATTGGCCATAAGTCCTTGACGATGTAGGTGCACAACCAGGTGTGTCTGTCCTCGCTGAACTTTTATGTAAAATCGCCTGACTGCCGCATCCCTCGCCTTAACTTGACAGGGAGGTCTCTAACTTGAAGAAAGGCAGTCTAATCATGAATGTTCAGGTTAACTGACTGTAATGAGGGGCTTGCTCGCTCACTGATATGTAGTTGTCACTTGTGACGTAAGTCTTGAACTGTGAACAGAGATCGACCTCTGTGTAGGTCGTTGTCCCTCGCGGTCCAATCAGAACAAGGCATTTTGATTCTGTATAAATACCAGCTGTGATGTCACCGTGTAGCGGAAAAAACCCACCTTGAATAAATTCTTGTCGCCGCTTGATATTAGCATAAACGCCGGTCTTCACCGTAGCTTCCCGGTTATCCGAAAGTGACCAATGTGTTTCGAGGGTTAATGGTAACCGCTGAAACCTCCGGGCGAATATCTCGCTCTGTAATTTTATGCTGTGCAGGTTATTTTCCTGGTTGTCGTGAAAAATAATTTCAGTTTTGAATATAATTCACTTCCTTATATATATGGGTATAAACAACTTGCAAGTTGTGAGCTTGTAGACTGTATACATGAATGTATCGCCATAATTGTAGAATTAACGTTGAACTTGTTGTACATATTTCTTCTCAGAAACTTTGACGATTAAGAGTTATACTCGCTGTAACAAGGCTGCTGTTCAATTTCGATATTGAATTGTCTGCAGATATGCGTAATGGTCACGCGCATGTAGATAATCGTATCGCCGTCCGGGATTGTATATTAGCAATTTATAACGGAATAGTTGATTTCTGTGAAGATCTATGAAATGTCGCTGACTAATAATACAGCGACGTTCTGTAGTTGTAAATAGCCTAAGCAATTATCTTCGCCAGGGGCTTATAGACGGCATCTGGCATACAGTTGATAATCAACTTATGCGACGCCTTGAACGGACTGACGAAGTAGCTATATATGACGAAAGTGGCTAGTATATGGAAACCTTGGAGGAGACTTCCTCGGTGAACGCCGGAGACTTCGCTAAGTTCTCGGTATCCCTTCTAGATCTTCTGGGTGAAGTAGACTTGAGTTACACTTAGCCTTCGCGCCATTATCGCGAAGGTGTCGAAGTCAAAGCCCGATTAGTATATATATATATATATATAAATATATATATGAGCGCTTGCTTCGCGGAACAGCCTCTGTGTTTAACAGGATGTGGGATCGGGCGCTTTGCCTAAGTAGGCCGCATGGATCATCTTATCATATTCAGAAGTCGGTGTTACTAAGTCTGGTGATAAGTGTCTAATTGATCGCTCTAGATCTATTTAGGCCAGCTTAACATACCGCCTCGTCATGGATTCAACAGAACCAATATACGCCATTGTAGTTCTTATACTTGATATCGATGATCAACTTGTCTCATGGGTTGATCTTCTCGAGACTTGTGAGGGGAACGCTGATAGTTTCGCTAAGCTCTT